CACCCCTCCCCAGCGCCTCCTGTTCTGTCAGGGCTGTGATATCAACCCCTTTCGGGAGCAGGGAGGCTCTGGGCGGCTGAAACCTTGTTTTAACGTGGCTTTCTGGGCACTGCTGCTTTCTGTACCTGCTCCCCCGCTTCTGCTTTTTTTTGGTAACGCTTCAGGTGCGTGGTGAAAAGCGCCAGGCTGAGAGTTGTGCCCCGTGCAGGAGGGTCCGCAGCCCCGCCTGCTTCCCGCGGGCTGCGCTGCCAACAGGCTTCCCTCCGAAACTCCCCGAGTCCTTGGGGCTCTGCAGAAGGGGCGATTATCAGATGTTTCGGGCTCTTCCTGTGCTGTGGGTGACTACCTGTCGGAAGTCGCCGGAGCCATCGAACTGCCAGCTGAATGGGAGTCAAGTGGTGACTTAAAACACCGTCGCCGAGCTCCTGTACCAGCCGTTTGTCCCCGTACACTTGAGAATAACTTTCTTTGTGCCGTTTTCTGCTCGCAGCGGGCAGCTGCACGGCAAGCAGGCTGGGAGTCTCGCTGCTGCTTCGTTGCCACTGAGTACAGTGGAAGGAAAACGAGCGCGCATCTGCCTCGCTTGCAACAAATGTATTTTGTTGCAGATCAGTTCAGTTGGAATGAATCTATCAAGGAATTGTTCTCGGTGGTTGCTTGGCTTGATGTGTGTGGAGCTGCTGTGTGACAGTCGAAACTCGAGCTCTGCAAGGCGTGTGTGTGTGTGAAACGCGGCGGCCAATCAGCAGTGCCTGAAACTAAAAGCAATTTGCGCCAGCGCTTTGTAGTGTAAATATTCCTGCTATGAACAAAGAGGAGGGTGTGTCATCGTGCTTGCTTCATTTGTACTTGTATGTGCTTCCTCTTTTGTGGCCAGTCAATGATTTTGTGTAGGTTCTTAGAACAGTGGCAGTCTCTTTTTGTTTGGGCGTTTTACTGAGTTGGGATACTCAGAAGCTTGGTGCTATATTAGGAATTTTTATTATGTTATTTGTAATAGGTGTGCTCTTAAGTGACTTGGTTTTGCTTCTTTTTAACTTCTGTTGTTGCTGATTGTAACTTTGAAGTTAATTCAACTTGGATGCAGTGTAAAATAAGTATTTAGTAGCACTGCCTTTCAACTCTGTTCTCTTGCCCTCTGATTATCCGGCATGGAAACCAGTAATTTCAGACTATCTATAAAGCTTTAAAACATGTACCTCTAAAATATCTGTATTTATTTTCTTTGAGAAGTGATAACATTTTGGTTTAAATAAGAAAATAAATTACAGTAAAATAGTGATTTGTGCCAGACAGACTCTCTTTGGTCTGTTTTGTCTGTGTGTGTTTAAGCAGTGCAGTTGCATGCTGCTCCTGTGATTTCTGGTTCTTGGGAACTGGGCATATAAATTCTTAATGTTAACTCCTTACCATGTAAGTTAAACAGATAAAACAGTAACACACACACAGACTAGACCTGAATCTTTAATTGTCAACTTAAAGGAGATTTTCTTTGGATAGAGTCATAGTTCATATAATTATAACATGCTGTAATTTGCAATTTGTAATTTGCAAGCTGGCTCATATTAATTTTCCTGAAACAGAGTATTAGGTGAAAAAGAGACCTGGCACTAGGTGTGGAAACAGATAATTGAACGTATTAGTGTGCTTGAGTTTGAAATTGTAAAGAGTCTCTCTTGCTTGAGGTATACCAAGGACTTGTAGGTGTGTGTTAGTAGGAAATACTGGGTGGAATACAAGGGTTAGCTCTTCAGGAAAATAGAAGGATCAAAGGTGTGTGTGGGGGTTTTTTTATAGCCTTGTTAATTGCATGGAAAAGCATAAATGAGGTCAGGTACTATTTTGAACAAAGAGTTTTTTCAAGATGCTGTATTTCAACAAGACACTCAAAAAGTAATAGTCTTTCTTTCTCTGTTGTGTAATAGTTGGTAATGTTTCTGTGCAGGAGGGAACACTACAAGCATTGAAATAAATCAGGTTATTATTGGCTGAGAGAGCTAAGTGATAACTGTTCAGTTTCTAACACATTCTTCAGATAAGCATCAATGTGCAATAGAAAGTACAGACTTTGTGCTATTTGGCAGTGTTGATTTTTCCTGACTTTCCAATACTGCTTGCTATTGCTATATTGAAATTGCAGGTAAAAGATTAAATTTGCCTTTTTTTAAGGGGCTTAAGCATTCTCACATAGTCCAAGTAAATGGCTTGCAGCAAAATGAAAAAGTTGTGAACAAGGGAAGTTTTATAAAGCACATATAACAGTGTTATTTCAATGAAGAAAACCTGAATTTAACCAGAAAGCTATGTTGGCAAGTAAAGAGCG